TGCTCCCATCATTCAGTGGGGTGAGATCCAGAGGGAGAGGTTTCCTTGTGCCGACATTTGCCAGCTTTACTGAACTGAGATACCAGTTCTGTCCCTGTGTTACTCTCTCTCTCTGCACTCGGCCAGACCCATTCCTGAGGAGTCAGCAGCGCTCCGTGTGACTCACCTCAAATATCACCTACATTTATACATCTCCGGCTTTCCCACATGCACACTTTCCCTGCCTCTGCTCACACAAGGAAGAGAGCAATTCAGGTCTCCATGCAAGAGTGTTTATGCAAATCATGACCTATTTAGACATAAAGACTAATGTAGATTCAATGAAATTATCACAAAAAGACAGAAAGTACACTAGATAATGGTCATTGTTGTTTTTAAATGAATATCAATGAAAGTCTATGTTTTGAATAAATAATGTTAAGCTATCATATCCATGTGAAATGTGTTATTACATGATTGCTGCAATACTGGAGAGAGCCTCTAGTTATTCTAGGGCTAAAGCTACATGAAATATGACCGGCTCTTCAAAAACAACAATAATAGGTTTGGCACTATTTCATTATTGGATTTCATAATAACAAAATAATAGTAATAACTGTTTATTTGGTTTAACCGACCAAGTGAAATGTTTGCTGTGAGATTTTTACAGTGGTTTGCTTTTTATAGATGAATGACTCCACACTAAAAGTAAGTATTTTCCTAATAATTATAAAGTGTTAAATCTATAGCTCATCTATTGCTGCATCGCACCATATATCAGACCTATGATAACTCCCACAATAGAATGCTTGCAGACGGTCATCCTGGGTAGAATCTTCCACTGCTGACAAAGACTGAATAAAGGTAAAGAAATGAAGCTGAAATGACAAATGATTAATTCAATCAATTCAAAAGGATAAGTCATATTCTCCCATAAGTTCTTGCTCAATATTTCTGTTAGTTTAGATTTTTCTGCTCCCTCCTGCCACCGACAGATCGGATAAGACGAAGCTGAGAAACCGCTGACACCAAATCAACGCCTGCATGCAGTAATTAAATCCTTTCCTCGGGGCATTTACACATCAACCTTTGACTCCAGGGGATGTTGTGAGTGCACAGTGGGGCCAGGCAGAAAAACTACAATTATTTTATTAGCCTGCTAATAATACATGAGCTTATGTGCAGTGATGCAACTGGACAGCTGTGTCCTTTTTTGTTTTTTCTTATTTTTCAAACTAAGAATTAAATGGAAACAACATGCAGACCAGGGATAACCCAGCCTGCCAATTACCTACACAGGCTCTGTGTTTCATCCAAGGAAGATGAAAAACGCTGTGCGGGGTCCTTATCGGACGCAACAGAGCAAATTAAAATTTCACTCTGGTGTTGCTAATCAGCACTGCGCTGGCTGGCCAAGACAGAGATGTAAACAAAACAACGTAAGCAAGCGACTGACGGGAGGGGGCAGAGAGCGGCAGACAGAGAGGGAGAGAGAGAGAGAGAGGCACATTGGGAGAGGGTTTGGGTTGAGGTTGGACTGCTTAGTGCTGACGAAGGGGCTTTAGACTGCTCCTGCCTGTAAACACACACACCAACAGAGAGAAAAGACACGCTCAAGGACACACACCCGCAGTAACAAGAAGGTCCCAAAAACACACACACACACCTGCGTGCCCATTTCCTGGCCAGACCCCATGGGCTGTCCGTCCGATGCAGATCATGTACCATAAATTAGATTCCAGCAGCCACAGTCAGGCCCATCACTATGCACAAGGCTCCCTGAGATAGCCGCATAATACAATGTGACATTGATGCATAGCTCCCATTATAAAGTCTTTGTTCGTATCACACTAATAATTCATAAGAGAGAAATGTAAACAGTATGCACTGGAGAGCACTGCAAGAGGGGATCATTTCAAGGTAAGCAAGTTACCAGGAGTGGGTTTGGGCCTCGTCTTTGATATGTAGAACTACTGAGCTTTGATTTCAAATCTCAAAACAAAAACAAAGGCAAAACACTGAGCATAATGGAGCCAAATTAGTAGAAACTGTAGATATCCATTCATTTTTGTTTTAATAGGTCAGATTCTAAATGAGTTGCTGCTGTAATTATCTAAGCAACAACACTGTTTCCAACTTGCTAGGCCCTCAGTATTATCTACTAATTACTTTTATTGTTCTCTGCGTGAGTTCTGATTAGTGGATAAAGGACGAACCCTTGTTACAGACAGAAAACGCTGTTTCATTTATGATTTAAACTTAAATAAGTCATTAGGATTCCATATATGCTCTGATTTTTATGACCACATGCTGTGAGCGAAGAAGGGAAAACACATACACATTGTGTAAAGCAGCTGAAGTGCATTCAAACAAACACTCAGACAGAAGGTCACAAACTGAAAGCATTGAATGTTGTTCTCTCCCTCAATCAAATAGGCCATAGTCATTTAAAAGAAACTAGGACAATGTCATTGTTATGAGAGAGCAGATTCATCTCACACAAACGCATTGGAAATAACATATCTCATGTAACTCTGGTGTGTGCGCACACATACAAACACACATATTGTGTTGGGGCTCTGTGTTCATTTTGGTGGGAGGCCAGACAAGTGAGTGTTGGGGGGGTGGGGTGGCAGCGGTGTAAATGAGGTGCACTCCTGAAGAGAGGCAGTGGGGAGGGAAATTGAATCTGAAAGAGGGAAACTGTGCCAACAGGTGACAGAGGCGTGCTCCGACCAAACGCACTCTGAAGTGAAGCGCAGTCATATCACGGGGCCAATTTGGAGGCAGTATTATGCACTACACCGCTCGCCTTTCTCACACAGCCTGTCAGTGCACAGGAGAGCAGTGCTGCTGCTCCAAATATGAATTAAACATAGGGCTTTTGTAGCGTGAATATACTGCTGCTGAAATGTTGGTAGAGTCAAGGAAAGAAAGAAAAAACACAGTAGCACATACACTTTCTCTTAAACTGGAAAACTGAAAAGAGGGAAAAAAAAAACATTTGCAACATGAAATGTTGAACGTAAGATTTGTGTAAGGAACCGGTTTGTAGAAATTGTTGGAGCTAAAAGAAACTTAATATATGAATAGATTAGAATATGGCTCATAAAACTGTATTTTCCTGTAGACTAGCCGACATTCATTAAGTTGACTTTGATTCACATGCATATTTTATACCGAATACACACAGTCACTAATAATTTTTGCAGTGAGAGTGAGATTAGTGTATATTTCTGGTGACCATTTTGTCAGCACATAATTTGGTACAATCAATACCACAGTAAACCCTCCCACACTAAAATGTTCACTTCATTTTCCCAGCATTCAACGCAAATTGCCTTTGATTGAAACAATGTAGGTTAATGAACTACTTTTGTCTTGCGAGAGGCAGACAATATAAGCTGTGCTCAACCACTATAGCCCCCCAGTAGTCCAGATGTGCCATCCAGCAGTGCGCATAATTTAGTGCATCAAAAACGACTGAATAAAGGCTCTTCTGGAGAAACGTGGTGATGTTTTGATTTTGAAAGACTGGCAGCTACCTGCTCCCGTGGGTGCCTTCATACACAAGAAGTATTTCAGCAGTGAGTTCATGGACACAGAGGGACGCTTAAGTGCAGTCCCTCCGAATCAGAGGGAGGAAGAGTTGAATAATTAGCAACACTTGATTTCTTTCCTGATCTGTTGCAGCTTGAGTGCCCTCGAGCAAGGCAGTCAACCCCAGCTGCAGCAGTGCCTCAACAGTAAAAGTCAGCTTCAGGGGTTATTATGTAAAACTGTGGTAGTGAGTAAGAGTGCTTCAGGAAACAAAGTATTTTCTCATATTTCAGTTAATGCACAAATAGTTTAACATGAAGTCGAAAAGATAAAGGTGTGCATTGAAAATGTATATCAAACAGAAGAAAAAAATGGACAATGCTCTCCATGCAAAGAAAATAAGATTGAACCTCTATATGAAAAATCTATTTTTCACTGAGGGCTGACATTGCTTTGTTTTTGAATATCAATTCTTTGTGCTGAAAGTATTAAAATAATAATCAGGAACCACCTAAACCCTCATAAAACTGCAATTATTGTGTTGGACAGCCTCCAAGTCGCGAGCATTCCCACAAGACACAAATGCAGCATCACCACAGCGCCTTGGCCAAAGATCCCTGCAAGAATCAGGCTTTTTTTCCTAAGTGCAGTCTGCCCAGTGGGGCCACGGGGAGCCAATCAGATGGCAGACTGGGTGTCAACTGTGAGCCAGGAGTGCGGAGAGCTTTTATCCAGTTTACCTCCACTATTCAAATCCTCAACGGAGCTGCTTGGGAATAGACGAGGCGCACAGACGCGCTCCAGCTCGATAGGGAGCGCACGGAGAGGGGCATGGCATTCATTTTTTTCTGATTGCTAAAAAGTCAGGAGAACGTGTGTAATGTAGAATAATATATAGATTCCGTTTTGTATTCTCTACAGGAGATTTTTACTTTGACAGAAAAGCGCATTGAGTACAACACGTCCTCTAAACAGGGCGTTTCGCAACGTGTCTGACACCACGTCGGCAAAGACATGATTCTGTCCAACATGAACCTTGGTTTTAATAAATTATCACAAAAACTATTTAGGAACACAGAGAATGAACAACTGTAATAGTAACTATTGGAACGTACTGACGGAAACACACCCTGGTGCAGTCTTTAACAATACAGCGTAATTAAAATAGCCAAATCAATGAAGCTGCTATTTGTAAAGGTCTCCTTCCTTTTTTCAGTCATACTGAAACTCAAATGTCTGATTTGTCCAAATAAAATTACGTGCATGTAAATATGTTTTCTTCCTGCATATAACCAACTTGATAAACATGTAAACCCATGTTGATTTTTATAATCAAGCTCCAGCACAAAGCTGCTGGACCTAAAGAGTGACTGTGGTCAACACACACAGAAAACACCTGGTAATTATGAGCGGCCCAGTGCAAGGAAACTCAAGTTCACTGATGTGCACCGGAGCGCCTGACGTAAGTTTCCAAAGCTCACCTGCGTCCTGCCGAGGCCTTGCCCTCCGTTGCCCGGGCTCATAGAGTGAGGGTGGTTCCTTTGCTGTCCTCCCCAGCCGTGAGCCGAAGCGGGTCCGTACTGGGGCCCCACGTCTTTCCCCAGGCCCATACCGCCTTGCTGCTGCGCCGTGGGGCCACTGTAGTCTTGATAGGCCGCGCCATAACCCCGCATCATCGGGCTGGGGGACGTAAGCAGCTGGTTGAGGGTCGGGGTGGCCCCTGAGGGATGCTGCTGCTGCTGCTGGGTTTGTCCCGGGAACCTCTGGAAGCCGCCCGAACCAGCTCCCAGGGGAGACTTGCCGTGGCTTGTTGAGGAGTTGCTGCCCATCATCATGTTCCCAGGTTGCCGGCACCCAGAAGGGCCCATCATCCCGTAGGCCCCGCCGCCGTAGCTCGCCCGGTACCCCGGGTACTGGTTGTACTGGTTGTTGTGGAACCCCGCTTCGTGGGAATTCTCCAGGCTGTTATGTGCCGAGGACTGCGTTATCCCCATCCCACTGCTCTGTTGCTGCTGTCCGCCATGTTGCTCGTAACAGGGCCGTGGAGTGTAATAGTTGTTGTTAAACTCGGAGTTGTTACTAGTTGGCCCTAAGTTAGAATGATCGTACCTGGTACTCGTCATCCTGTCCGCGGGTTTACAGGTGAGCTCCCCCTCACCTTTACCTGGCATGTGCTGCTGCTGTGGCTCCCCCTGCCCCCCCAACAGGTTCTCCTTGCCACCGTGGTGCTGGTGATCCATACCCCGGTCTCCACGGGGCCCCTGGCCGTTGTTATTGGCGGTGTTGTTACTTTGGATCTGTCGCTGCTGATGTGGCGCAAATTGGCCGAATTGCGGCGGTGGCTGCTGCTGAGGCAGCGGCTGGGACTGAGGGGGATCTCCGCTCCCCACACATTTCAGCTTGTGGTTCGCGATCAAACCCGCTTCCATCGAGGAAGTGGTTGAATTMGTCGACGCCGACGCGGACGTGAGGTTATTCCCATCCTTGTCGTGGCCGTCCGGTGCGCTGTGAGTCGTGGAAGTTGAATGGACCATGTTGAGCTCGTTACGGCGGCGATGGTCTACATTATTCAGAGTCCCATCTCCGGCTCCCAGCATCGGTCCACTTCGCTGCACGGTCCCTCCTCCTCCACCTCCTCCGGATTTCCCCGAATTGAGCTCCGGACCCAGACCGCTGGATAATTTCTTATTTTTGTTATTAGTTCTGGTCGGAGCCGATGCCACTTGCGCAGCCATGGTCACTCCGACATCTCAGCGCGCAGTGACAGCAAGCCCCGACCAGCGTCGCTCACAGAAAATAACACAAGAGGGGAAGAAAAACACAAGCTGGGAGGTGAAAAATATGTTCAGTGGAAAAGCAAGCTTTGTTCTAGCGCTGGCGTTGCTGTGGCGGTGGTGAAACGGTGCGTCAGTGAGGCTTCATGTTGAGAGTTTCTCTGCCAGGTTTAAACGAAACTTTTTTTCTTCCCCCCTCCGCCTCTCCTCCATCCCGGTTCTCGGTAATATGCAGCAGCGTCTCCCGGAGCCCCTGTGGCCCAGCATGGCATGAGAGAGAGCGGGCTCTACCAGCTTATCCACCTCCAGGGCTCCGGCGCGCCTCACGTGGAAAATCCGGACTGGAGCAGCGAGCCATTACGCACGCCGCATTTTGTTTCTTGTTTCTTTTACGCTGATTTAAGGTTTGATTTTAGAATAAAAACGACACGCCGACGGGGTTGTATTTTATCATGAGATACATGTCCACAATCTTATTCCAACATAAACATTTCGTCCAGTAATCGCACGCCAGACGGTCAGGGAATGACTCCTTCCCGTGAGTTTAAGGCGAATTTTATTTTATAAACAACCGATAACCCCTGAAATCAAGCATTTCCAAATTACGCACAGATGCTGCTGCTCCACTCCGCACAGTTCCCGCAAATAAATGCACCAAGAGATCTTAACTTTGCCGAAGCGAGTTTCTGCGCAGTTATCCAGACCTGATTTTCCCTCTCCCCACCATCCCTGTCCCTCGGCTCAAGCCAGTTCTCTGCAGCTCTGACAGGAGTTGGACACGCAACCACAAGCTGTGCGCAATAATGTTGCCATCGGAATAAGAATATAATCACACTTTATAGCAGCTATAATGTTGTAATATCTGCACCACAGAGTTCATCCACCACGCCATCCGCTCCCAGTTACTTCGTCTCAGGCTGTAAAGGAATAATGTTCTCCCCTCAACAAGGCACAGTAATCATGTAATACGAGGGAAACCACGGACATAACCAAACTATAAACTATATAATATTATTTAGAACTATTCGGTATGATAGCAGATAAAAATGTCATTACGATTAGTTCATTATAAGTCTCCATAGGAATGTAATAACCTATGAATATTAAAGCCATTCTTCATTAGGGTCTTTAAAGGCTACATTCTTTAATTTCCTCCTTTGGATTTACTTTGTCAGAGACAAACTTGTCTGAAGTGATAATGACAATGAAATGAAAAAAAAATAGAAGGAAAAAAAAAAAAATCAACCCCAGGCTGCAGTGTAGGACCACACAAAAAACAAAGTCTACAAGATATGCTCTCCCATCAGCGGCATTCAAACATGAATGTAAAATAGTGCTTAGTAAAGAAGCCGGGGTGTCTGTTGGGACTTGAATGAGCAGAGGGTCCGCTTTGATGAGATCAGATGCATTTGATCAACAGAGGGAGCTGCAGATGAAAGAGGGGGCTTGGGTAGGGGGGTGGGAAGAGACGGATTTGGGGATGAGAGTTGTGCTGAGGATGGCCATGATAATGATAATGACGACGAGGGTAGATGGTGGGAACATGTGAGGAAGATGATGCTGGTGATGTCATGTGGCAGATGGTAGTGGTGACCATCGTGACGTTGATGACTATACAGGTGTAGTGACATATTTGTTAACACCTAGCTGCTGCTTTATGTCACACATTTAAAAACAAGGAGGAACAACTCACTCTGCCTCATACTTTGTGTAGAGTGGAGGAAGAGGCCATGTCCATGACAATGGGAAGACCCCTGCTGGAGATACACTGTTAGTACAAGTTTGAGCATTAAAAACACAGAGGTCTATGCATGTGTATGTAAGCGGAAACACACCTCGTGTTTCAGTAATATTGTGCTTTTCACAGTATGATTTTGTAATATTTCACAAATTCATATCACATTCATAACACATTAGAGAGGCAAAATCCAATATTTCCAAATGGAAGCTCACATTGGAGACAAATAAAAGTAACTGATATCCCCAGAAACCTTCCCTCCCGTTTGCCTTTATGAGCCCATATGGCTGAGAATAAAAGCTAGAACTACACACTACAAAGCCTCCATGGCCTTCACCATTCAGTATGCTCGGGCCCAGCCTATAGCATCAACATGAACAGATGGCTACTTATCTATAGGACAACCTGAGAAGACATTGTATTTACATCCTCCTGTAAGGGGAAAAAAACGTATAGGTGGCAGAAAGCAACTGCTGTGGAGTGTGTAGGACTATAGACCAAACTACATCTCCTTAAATGATCAAGGATTTTCTATGTGTTAAGTGTCATCATCACTGGTTATGTGCACCTTTTCTGATTAAAACAACCCTCATCCACACCATTCCTGCTCTCTGTACTTTTTTTTTGCACATGATGATTCTGGCTCCCATCAGCGTCCTAGATCAAAGCCTCAGCTCCGATCTCATCTAGAGCAACACTGAGGCTGACAGTGTGGGGACCTCGGGCATTAGCATATTCTATGATGGCGCCCGGCTTTTCAAGCCGTTGCCTCGGCTGCAGCTCTGGGTGTGCCACGCTGTGGCTTTGCAACTCTAATTTCCCTCTCTCGCTCATTAAAAAAAGCCCACTGTTCTCCTATTAATTCGCAGACACACTGATCTGTTTGAATGGCGAGGATGTGTGTGTGAAGGAGGAGGGAGGTGGAGGAGGGCAATGGCTCAGCGCATTTGCATTTATGTTTAATTTATAACCTTCAGGGGCCCCCTGATGCAGCAAGATTGAAACAATAACTCCAGACAAACACGGGGAAGAGAGGAGGAGGAGCCGGAGGAGGGAGGATAGAATTAAAAATATACAGATCTGGGATGGTATGTGCTTTGATGTGTGTGTTTGCATGTGTGTATGTGTGTGTGTGCATGTTGGCAACAATGCTGTTACAGCCTTTGCATGCATTTCTGTGCTCATTCGCACATCTGAATCAAGGTGTATCTGAAACACACATGCACAAGCACACAGTCACACATGCACGCACTGACAGAGAGGCATAGGTCTCAAATCTGCAGGGGGATAACATGCCACGGTGAGTGTCTGTCAGGAGAAGAGCTGGAGTCTGTTCTGGGGGGGAGTCTGCAGGGATCTCCCCCTAGCAGCACAGCAAAGAACAGCACAGCAGACAGCAGCAGCAGCAGCAGCACAAGCCTGGCCAAGCACAGAAAGTGGGTCAGCCCAAAACACACACATGCACACCCAGATACACACACACACATACATACACAGCTCAGACGGATGTAGCCTCGGTGTCACTCTGTGGGTGTGTTTGAAAGAAAAAGACCATGCAGAGACAGAATGCATAGATTAGGGCTTGTGTGTATGAGAGACAGAGTGGTAGTATATTCTGCATATGCGATGTTCAACGTGTCTTGTTTAAGATCAGAGGTGGATGGCTAAGGAGTAGAAGGAGGGGTGTGTAGCTGAGACATGAAACCAGCCAGCTATTGTGAGAAACACCCTATGGAAGTGCATCAAATTGATCCATAGTCTTTTCATTTCAGGCTTGGGTAAATAACAGCATTTGCATTGATCAGTCTGCAAAACCAGGCAATGATGGGCTTGGGAGCATACAGTATACGCTCGTCTGTGTGTGTTTGTGTGGCTGGTAACAAAAAAGAAAAAAAAACATCTCTTATTCCTCTCTGCTCCTCGCGGAGTGGAAGGCCTCACCAGAGCCCTACAAACAGCTATGATGGATAAAATGTTTTTCAACAACACTTGAGAAGAGTGGATGCTATTGTGTCCGCCTGTATACTGAAACGCAGAATCACAGAATTCCCAGGACGCTGCACGCTCTATTTATGTGTTATGAAAAACATGACTCAAAAGAAAAAGGAAAACAGCTATGCTCCACTTTCACTGTCAGCTATCATGTGAAGTGTGAAGAGGAGGAAGAGGATGAGAGCGAGATGCAGACGGGGGAGAGGAGAGTAAAGGAGAGTGATTTTCTTCATCCACACAGATCCCATCCTGATGGTGACAGGGGAGAGGGCTCTCAGAACCAAACCCCCCACCCCACCCGTCACTTCTCTCCTTCCCTCCCTCCCCTTCTCATGACTGGAGGAGTGTGTGAAGTGTCCCCCGAGAGGCACAGACTCAAAGACGGTATTTACAAGATCCACACTGAGCCCACTTTTAACTGCCTGTGAAGAACTTCTCCCACCGCCTTTGATGTGCCAACCTAATGGGGAAGAGCTCGCCAGCAGTCATTGCATATGTTGGCGAGGAAACGTGTGCTAATCCACTAACATTGCAAGGTAGACTTCACGCTGCTTGCAGTAAGTGAACACTTTAAATGCTGTATAGATTTGGTGCATTGCTGCCCTTGGAAAAAAAATCCCCACTGGCAAACCGATGCGATGTATCAACTTTTACAGCAAATTAGAGGCACCGGCAGCAAAAGAAGAGCACATTGCTTATTTTGTGGTGGACTTAACATATTCATGAACTTATATAAAAGTCTACTGATCAGATCATCAAGACGATGATAAAAACTGAACCCGATGTGCAGTAGCATAAACTCATATAAATCCTGCCTCCTCCACGTTAGAGCATGAGACATGGGCCAAACTAAAAAGTCAAATGCATTTTTCTGAAAGATGGTTTCTATCATTTTAGGTCATTCATGTCATACTGATGTATGTTCAAGTGCAATTTTTTGCGATAAGTTTTCTTATAATTAGTTATTTGATGCTATAACAACTGGGTGAAACGGCATGACTGACAGCTGAGACTGACTCACGATTGGTTGAACATGGACCAGGACCTTACAACAGCAGCTCCATCCCCCGATGAGTACTGTGTAGAATCTGGCTCCAAATGTGCAAGATGGCAGCTTTCATATCTGGGATGTTTTAGCTCCATTTCTGGATAGAAGGAGGAAATGGAAACACGTCAGCCATCTTAGATACAGTCTATGGTTAATATTAAGTATATTAGCAACAGATCTACCCTCTTGGTTGAAAAATAACTGTGGTGCAATAAATTAGACAACCTTCAGATTCCACTGCCACTGAATATTTGTATCCAGATGGGATGAGTAAAATCAGCATAGAAATCAGCGAAGCAAGCTCGCCCATATAAATAAAAAAAGCACCTCCGCCTTCATGTTTCTTTAAAGCAGGCATATGAGGCAAGAGGACTAGTGCCCCATGTTGTCTATCAATTGTGAGGTCAAAGGTCACATGACATACACA